CTTCCTTCCTCCGGAAGGTGCTTCCTGGACATGGAGTTTGGACTCCAAGTCCAGCAGGGCTGCTCTGCCAAAGGACCGCCAGTCCTTATGGCCCTGAGAGAACAATGCTAGCTAAATGAATGCGCAAATCCTGCTCACTCATCTCTAACCCTGGAGTCAATGTCAAACTCTCAAAAGTAGAATAGAGTTTGGACAAGGAGCCATCAAATTTCTTTTGGCCCAGACGCAAAATTTTGTATGTTGCTTTCCTGGCCTTCTCCTTGTATGCAAACCTATCCTACAAGGCCTGCAGAAAACCAGCCAACCCCAATCTCTGAGCCCAATCAGACATCTCCATCCCCTGCTTGCTGGAAGTGGAGGTGCACCATTTCAGCGCAGTCCGCTCCAGACGAGCAAGGATGGCAGGCACCTTTACATCCTCATCACATTTGAACCCACTCAGGTAGGTTCTTTGTGCAATGACCCAATCTGCAACATCCATCTTTGGGTCCTCGCCAGAGAACATGTGTGGAGGGGTCAACTTGGGCCGCTAGAAATCAAATGGAGTTGAGGGTTGTGAAGGTGCTGTTCGTTTGGGGGTAGAGGGAGAAGATGTGGGTCTGGATTGTGGGGGTTGCTGAGAGCCTGCTTGAGAGGGCCCAGGAGAGGGAGGAGCTGTTTGGGCAGGTGGGATCTGCAGATGAACAAAGAGACGGTCCAGTTTGGAGGAAATGTCCTTCAACTGCTGAGTGTGCTCAGCCATGCTGTCCTCTAGACTGGTGATTCTGGCATCCCAGTTAGTAAAATAGGACTGTTGAATTTCATCTCGCAAAAGGACGAGTTCAGCTATGTCCTTATTGTACTCACTGGAGCTGCCACTCGTCCTAATCTTCTCTACATCAGCTGTCAGTTCCCTCCTCCTTGTTTCCCTCTTGGCAGATTCCTCCTTCCTCTTCAGCTCAAACCTTTTAGAGACTCAACTGCCTGGGCCTGCAGGCGGAGTTTCTCCTCTTGGGCCCGTAGTTCAGCCTGTAAAGGATCAAGCGGTATCGGAGGTTTCACTTTAGAAGCCTCTCCCTTCTCAGCATCTGCCATCTTGCCTTTTCCCCACAATTCAGATAAATAAAATAAACTCAACTAGGGACAAACAGGAAGTAGCAGTAATTGAGTTTTCTCTGCAGTACTCACTTAGTTGCTGCCACCTTCCTGGAGAGAGAAAGTTGGTTAGTCTGAGCAAGTGAGTGCTCAGTCTCTGCAGACTGCTTGAGGGTCAGGGTCAGTTTAGAGTACACTCAGTACAAGTCTATTTCACGATTTTCCAATCCCTGCCCTGACACATCAATTGCATGCAATATTTGCAAACCCTGGGTCAATATCCTTCAAGATGCAATCCTGGACTGGTTAGTGTTGATTAGTAGTTTGTCTGAGTGACTAATTAGGGATATACAGGTGTCCACTGATAACCAAGATGCAGTGATTTACAGGTAATCCTATTTTTAGACCTACCCTGCAGACTTTACCAATGTATGACCCTGTATGCCATACCCTGGGTATGACGGATTACAATTTTCACTGTAACTGACTCAGAACATCAAATCTGGATGTGCGATTTCAGACAGACACTGTATACTGAATTGCGATTTACCAGGGACTGACATAATTGAATTATGATGGACAGAATCAAAGCTATGACTAACCCTAGTCTAGCCAAGCTTCAGCTATGGCAACGCAAAATTCAAATTTTCCATTATCACTAACAACAGGACTCTGAACAGACCAATTCACTACACAGGATGAATCGCAATACTGTAGAGCAGTTACATATGAGATTTGATTCAGAAAGGACGTCAAGCAGGGTTAGTAGAAGTCAAAGATGATAGGTAGGGGAAGTTGGATATTGCTGTCCCACAGTCTGAATTTCGATTTTCAACTGTAAACTGACAAACGGACCAAATTTCGCTATTCTAAAAATAGCCCCAGAATCGCCACACAAGGTAAAGTAAGGAACACACTTCAGGATCAACTCTGAAGAAGATGAGTGAAACTCTGGCTATGGCTGTTTGGTCAACCCCATCTCGCCAGTTTCATCTCCTGATGATTCCCAGTGTTCCCACGTACCAAAACTCCTGAAACTTGGTGATCCAATAGATAACCCTAAGGCGCTTCACCCCCAACTTTCAGCTTCACTGAATTTGGACTCCCAGGTGCAGATAACTGACAAATTCAGTGCCTCTCAGATAATTGACAAATTGCAGTAATGCGCTGCTGGGAAATTGGGGATCCTGACCCGATTCTACAATCGCAACCTCTTGGGATCACTTCCTTGTCAATCGCCAGTCTCCAAATGAATGCCAAGCTAAAAATAGTCTCTCAAAGCCTCTCAGGCCTCTGAGCACCAATCGCCAACCACTCCTGCACAACCCTAGTCAGGAGTGAGTCACCCTCTGTCCAATTCTTCTCGCCACACACTCACCACCACCACCCTTACTGACAAAAACCCTGAAGGTGATGCATTGCCATGAAACTCAACTCCAGTATCTCGCCAGATGATGATGGTTGCTCCAACTCATCAATCATTCCAGAGTCTGGATCCAATCGCTTTGATACCAACTGTTATGGTTCTGGTTGTCCGTTGTCTGAAGACCAACACTCACTCACATAGAATTCCAGGTATGCCCATACATACACAAAAGGAAGGAGAGAGGATAGGAGTATCACACCACACAGGGAGAGATAAACACAGCGGAAGACTTGACCATCCGATATGACAGGGTACACTGAAAGTGCAATTCACTCCACTCAATCCTCACAACCAGTCATAAAGAAAAGCCGAGTAGATCACATCCAGGAAACAATGAAACGATGATAGTCCAAACCCAGTATTACACTGTTTATTAAACTCAGAGTCTCGAATTGTCAGGATAACCTCAGAACTACAGTGCGCTGCTCAGAAGTGAGCAGTGCTTCACTCCCCAACCCTGAGTAACCACTCGTAACACCCCTGAGCCCCTGAAACATCAAGCGCCAACTAAATACAGCCTCCACAGGCAAGCGCCACCCTGAAACAGGTCTCTGAGACCAAGCGCCACTCAGAGGATGAAGAAGAAGACCAGCGCCACAGTATCTGATGATGACGAAGTGTCGAAAGACTTCCCGGGTGGAAGTCTGCAGCAGCGCCACCACTCCTGAAAAGATGACCTCTGAGAAAGAAGCTGCAGCTCTGGCTGCAGCGCCACTACCCTGGAACCCCACTCCGGAGGAGTATCCAGCAGGGCACCAACTTCTCTTGCCTCCAGCAGACCTCGAGTAACCCAGACCTCTGACAGCCCCGCGTGCTGACAGAGTACAGCGCAGGTCCCAGCTATGGCCGGCATTCTGAAGGTCTGGCTATGTCTGTCTCCCACAACGCTGAGCCGTCACCGGTTCTGGTTCACGCGTAGCGCAGCAGCGATGTACTCGGTACCAACTGCCAAAAGCCCTGAACCGATGTGCCCATCCTATCTATAGTCTAAACTAGCCTAGACTCGACCTAGACCGGACTGACTGACCGACCGGTACCATTTGCTGTTTCGGCCTCTAGGGCCTCTCCCTACCCGGCTATAGGCTATAGGACCGTCTATCAGCTTAGGCCCTTAGGCCTGTCTGTCCTAGGGGTAGCCCGGGCCTGCTACTCGCAGTTAGGGTAGCAGTAGGAAATTCAGTTAGTGCTGGGCATGTATTTTCCGGAATTTGCAGATACGTCCCTCACGAATTTCCCCTACAGGTAGGTCTCTCGGTTAGCCCTCAGCCAAACAAAATTACGAATCTATCCTACCTATGATACAGCCTCGACAAGAGAGAGGCTACATGTGACCAGAAACCAGCAAGTCATTGCGCGTTGTTAGACCTCCAACACTTTTGACTCCCAATTCTGCTTCTCAGCAATATTGAAATTTCAGATTAAAGATTTTGTATTTTGAACTGCTTTGAATGTGTTGTTCGTAACTTGTCCCTGTTTTGAAATGGTTTGTCACCTAATGTCCCGGTGTTCAAATCTTGCGGATTTTGTTATTCCCAATGTCTGAGATGGATCATCCACCGACACTTCCTTACACCCCCCAGCTTGTGTATATATCAACTTTGAGACTGAATTTGGGCACGCCTGCTGCAATGCAGAGCAGCCTTATGGAGTGCTTTTATACCTGTGAGCGGGTTTGCATACCCGCCAACCGCCGACGCTGACCGTCGACCGTTTTCCAGCCTTATGTAGGGCCGACCGGTCGGCGGTCTGCCGACCAGTCTGTAATCTGAGTTCCGGGCTGTACTACGCTTGCTGAGGACAGCCCAAATCCGCTAAGAAACTTTAGGGGATGGGGCGTGGG